TGGCAGGATGGTGGACACTGAAGACAAATTTGTTAATACACTTGTTATAAATACGTTCTGGATGTTCCAGAAGTTGGAAGAAGACATTGTCAAGATGAAGAGAGAAATGGAGCATACAAAAAAAGACCCAAATGGAACTTACAGAGCTGAAGAACAATAGCACCTGAAATGAAAACTATACTGGCTAGGATTAATAGTACAGGAGACACTGTAGGAAAGATTAATATTAGAAGACACAGTAATCAGAGCTTGTGGGACAATATCAAACATCTAACATAGGCATAACCACAGTCCCAGAAGGAGAGCAGAGGAAGAACAAAACATATATTTGAAGAAATAACAGCTGAAAACTTTCCCAATTTAAGACAAACTATTAGCCCACAGATCAAAAAATTCAACAAGCCCTAACCAGAATAAACATAAAGGAAATTATTCCTAGGTACATCATAATCAACTTGGGAAAAGCAGTGAAAAGAACCAAAGCAGTTGGAAAACAAGACGTTGTGTTCAGAGGAATAATGAACAACTCTAGGTGTATCATTAGAAGCTACCCAAGACAGAAGACAATAGAAAGATATCATTAAAGCACTGAAAGAATATTCAATCAACCTAGAACCGTTTATCCAGAGAAGTACCTTTCTACAAGGGAGGCAAAAATAAAAGCTCCGAGAACTCATCACCAGAAGATCTACACTATGAGAAACATTAAAGGAAATTTTGGGGGCAAAAGGCCAATGATACCAGATAGAAATCTGTATCTAAACAAATGGAGAACACAGAAATGATATACATTTGGATAAATATAAAAGGCATTTTTACCAAGATATGTGCTATGGCCTAAATGTTTGGTCTAAAAGGCATTTACACAATATGTGCTACAGTCTCAATGTTTGTATCCCTCCAAAATTCATGTTAAAATCCTAACCCCCAAGGTGACGGTATTAGGAGGTGGGGCCTTGGGGAGGTAATTAGGCTCCACCCTCATGAAGGTGGATCTGGTGCTCCTATAAAAAGACCCGAGAGAGCGCCCTCTTCCCTTCCAGCATTGTGAGGTTATAGCTGGTGGGCTCTCACCAGACATCTAATCTGTCTAATCTGTTGGCGCCTTAATCTTGGGCTCCCCAGCCTCCAGAACTGCAAGAAATAAATTTTTGTTGTTTATAAACTACTCAGTCTCTGGAGTTTGTTAAAACAGCTGGATAAATTAATATGATGTATTGTGAGATTTACAGCATACATGTAAGTAAAATGTATGATAACAGCAGAAAGTATGGGTGGGCCAAGAGTATATTGCTGTAAAGGTTCTTGCATTATACATGAAACAGATATTACTACTTCAAGAAAACTTATGAAAATTTAAAGATATGTACTATAAAACTTACAGCAACCACAAGAAAAGTACAAGGGAAGGAGAGAGACAGCATACAAGGTAATAGTGGAAATAAAATGAAAGCACAAAAAAAAATCCAAAAGAAGTCATGAAAAGAGGAAAAACAGATGGGGCAGCCCTAGCTGGTGTGGCTCAGTGGACTGTGTGCCGGCCTCTGAATGGAAGGTTGCCAGTTTGATTCCCAGTCAGGCCATATGCCTGGGTTGTGGGCCACGTCCCCAGTTGGGGGCATGTGAGAGGCAACTGATCAGTGTATCTCTCTTGCGACGTTTCTCTCCCTTGCTTTCTCTCTCTCTAAAAATAAATAAATAAAATGAAACAAACAAAACAGATAGGACAAATCAGGGGAGGGAAAAGCAAGATAGGAGTTATAAACTTAACCATATCAATAATTACATTAAATGTAAATGGTTTAGTCCTGACTGGTGTGGCTCAGTGAGCTGGGCATTGTCCGGCAAAATGAAAGGTCACTGATTCAATTCTCAGTCAGGGCACATGCCTAGATTGCAGGGCAGATCCCTGGTTGGGAACATGCGAGAAGCAACCTATGTATGTTTCTCTTGCACACTAATGTTTCTCTCCCTCTTTTTGTCCCTCTCTCCAAAAATAAATAAATAAAATCTTTTTTTAAAAACATAAACGGTTTACGCATCGCAAGACAGAAATTGTCAGACCCAACTATATGCTATCTGTAAGAAACCCATTTTAAATATAAAGGCACAAATAAGTTAAAAGTAAAAGGATAAAAAAAGACATATCTTGTAGACGTTAATCTAAAAAAAGCTGGAATGGCTACAGACTTCAGAACAAGTAATATTACCGAAGATAGAGACATTTCAGAATACTAAGGGTCAATTCTTCAAGACGATATAACAATACTAAGTGTATCTCAACCTAATATCTGAGCTTCAAAATAATGGGAAAAAATGATAGAAGTGACAGGAGAAATATTACAGTTGGACAGTTCAACATTCCTCTCTCGGTAATTGATCGAACAAGTAGACAGAAATCAATAAGGATATAGAAAACTGAACACCACCATCCACCAACTTGACCCAGCTGACATTTATGAAACACTCCCCGAACAGCAGCAGCATATCCCTTCCTTTGTGGTGCACACAGAACACTTGCCGCAGCAGACCACATTCTGAACTGTAAATCAAGCCTCTGTACACTTAAGTGGCCTTAAATTATATAGGCTATGTTTTCCAACCACAACAGAATTAAACTAGGTAGCAATAACAAAATGATTAGTTGCAAAAATCACACAACACACTTCTGAATAACCAGTGAGCCAAAAAAAAAAAAAAAAAAACCAAAACAATTACCAGAGAAACTGGAAAATATTTTTAGCTGAATACAAATGAAAATACAGTATCTCAAAACACGTGGGTAGAGCTAAACAAAACAAAACAAGACAAAAAAGAAAGGATTCAATAACAAATTTATCTTACAGCATAATTTAACTGAATGGTGGAGTGGTTGTTTTCCATCCTCACGTAAAACAGTTTAATCACTGATATTTACTGATCCTCTCCTTAGAAGTCAAGAACTCTGCTGGCAGATAAAATTAGGGCTGTTACCTAATCCCAAAGCCAAGCCAGCAGAGACAGGAGCACCTTGTACACGAAGGCACAGATCTCTCCAGGACAAGGAGGTGCAGGCGAGGCTGAGTGAAAGTGGAAGCGCGTGGCTTGGGCTTAGAAGCCTAACAATGCGGAGAGCTGTGTGAGAGCAAACAGGGCTCTAGCCAGACGTCCAAGTGTGACAAAAGACAGAGAGCGGGAAGGCCAAACAAGCAGGTGGCAGGCTCAGTGAACAGCTAGTTCAAGTTCACTACGCCAGTGTTGCAGGCATCACAGCAGAGGAAGCCTGGGACTGGATTCCAAGTGCCTGGAGGGACCTGCAGACTGGACCAGGAGCCAGAACCTGGCCATGAGTCCTGGGTCTACTGCTGACTAACAACGGGACCATGGTTCAACTTCTCTGAGGCTCACTTTCCCCCTCTGTGAAGCAGACTGAACACATCCCTGTCTGTCACTGAGAGCTGCAGTGAGAGCAACTGCACCACGCACACAGTGAAGCACTACGTGACGTAAAAACAGAGGTGAGGAGGCTGAAGGCTTCTCTGAACTGGAAGGCGGCTGAGTGAGCCTGGGGCTGCACGAAGATGAGCGACACCCCACTGACGTGAAAGCTGGATGAGAAGGTGGAAATAAGGCTACGGCGGTGGTGCAGGGAAGGAGTAACGAGGGCCTCAACCAGCGAGCTGGGGCAGGAGCACCGCGGAAGAGGTGACCGAAGGGGCCCTCATGAGATGGCCCCCAGAGACTGACCGCGGGTGGGATGGAAAGCCAGGGAGGAGTAAATGCAACCTGGGTCTAAAGTAGTGGACGTGTGGGAACATCTGACCGCCAAACAGGAAAGTTAGAAAATAAGCCCCATTTTCCAGGTATAATGCTTCTAACCAAATTTTGACCCATATAATAGAAAACAGCTGACCATGAAAGGAAAATAAAATTTCATGTAATAAAATATTTAATCCTAGAAACTATGCAGCTATTTTAAAAGCATTTGGCAAACAACTTCTATATGTAATTATAGAAATGCCATTTAGTAAAACATTCTAGCTGAATTTTACCATATAATTTCTAATCTATGAATCTTCATGCATGTTGTCATTTTATTTGAAGGTTGCAGTAATGTAAAAATTCACAAATGAGGACACCACAGAAAACTACTAATGTATCATTGTAGATGCACCAAAATTCATCACTGAATAAATCTTTGGTGCTGAACTAGTAGAGCCAAAGCAGGTAAAATGTGAAAAAATCAGCATGGTGCTAAGAAAAAACAAAACAAAACAAACATTTGAAACTGGGTTCTCTGCCTTAATTAAAAATTCACTTAAAATGCAATTAAGAAAGACTAGTTACCTGAGTCCAATAAACACACAAACATAACAGAAAATACCGTTCTTGAAAAAAGTATAATTGTATGAGCTGTGGATTGTATATGAATGAACACAATGCCAACTCGAGCCTCAGAATTCTACCTGTGGTTACCAGGCTGAAAAATAAGACTTTATGTCACAACAGAACCACTGTCACATACCTGGGGGTCTGGTTCACTAGGTAACAATAGGATTACTTCTCAAACTAATTAGAAGTTACATCGGAATAATGTTCATTGAAATTAGGTTAGGTTTGAAATTCAAATGATTTCCAAACATAATACAGCACCCCAAATAAAAATGGATTAGGTCTAGTTAGCTTCTTCTAGTAAACTCTGTGGGTGAAGGAGGTTTGTTGTTTCATGAGAAGAGCCTTTCCAAGCTCATCTAAGAGATATTTGGAACAGGGTCCATTACATGCCCACTTACAAATTACCAAGACAATAGCAAGAACCATTCAAGGTCTGCCACTACAGCTTTTTGCTAACATACATTTTTGCCCACAATCAAAGTCAGTTTAGAAAGTTTACACGTAGAAAGGAAGTCTAACTGGCGTCCTTATTTAACTTCTTCGCTGTCATTTGTAAAAACCTCAGAAGGCAATAAAAAGGGGAGGGGAGGAGAGGGAAACGTCTGGATAGGCTCCAGAGAACTCACCCGTGCAAAGTCAAATGCATATCTGTAAATAAGTTTAAAGTTTGTAGAATCATTTAGTAATGATCTTAAGTAATCCAAAGTATTTCTGAGTTTTTCTGTTGTATCACATCTAGAAAAACAGAATAAAACAAATTATAACCTGAGTTTTTGTTCTTATTTTGGGGCAATAATACACAACACAATACCAAAAGACAGAATAAAGACTCCAATGCTGGAACACACCCATGATGACCTATTTTTTTTCCTACACTTTTTATTTCAAAAAATTTCAAATGCATAGGAAAGCTGGAAGAATACTAAATAAGCACCCGTATACCTACCCATCCCTTCGGTTCACAGTAAACGTCGCCACACTGGTGTTCTCTCTCGCATACACACACTTTCTGTACCATTTGAAAGTAAGTTGCCAACATAATGATACCCCTAAGCACTTAAATACCATCATCACTTTGAATATTCTATCAGTGTTAACTTTCTTAGCTAATATACAACCCACACTGCCAATTCCCCAATTGTTCCCCCATTTTTCTTCACAGCCGCTCCTCTAGAGAACTCAATGCAGCACGTGATCAAGGCTCATACATTGCTTTTAGCCGTCAGTCTCCTTAGTCTCTGGAAGGGTGTCCTCCTTTTCTCTGTCTTTCCTGCCAATGTCATTTCTGAAGAGATTAGACTCTTGGCAGAATCTCAATGTGTCAGATAATTTCCCCACGATTATACGTAGGTCAAACATTGATGAGAACTCTACACATGACTCCTTCTCAGTGCTCCCCACGGAGAGGCTCATGTTGGCCTGTCCCAGTCCTAGTGACACTGAGCTGGTTCATCTGGTCAAGGTGGTGGCCACCGGATTCCCCACTGAAAGGTGCTTTGCCCCCTGAAACGGTACACCGCCTGTGGGATGCCCTGAGACTCTGAGTCCTGTTGCTCAGTAACTGGCCGTCAGTGGTTTTGTCCTCTACTGATGATACCTCCCTGAACTGATTTCAGATTTGAAGATGCAAAATGGTGATTTTTCGAACTCTATCACGCTTTTACACTTCCTGGCTGGAATTCTTCTATAAAGAAGAGTTCTACTCACCACTTTCCTTATTATTTGGAGTTAAGGATTTTTGCTTTTTATTCAGTGTCATAAACTATTACTTTCTTTATTCTTCCTGAGGTACAAACTGTCCTCACTTGGGCAGTGGCCCCTGCAAGCGGGCTCCAGTGTCCTTCCGACAGGCTCCCCTCAGTCTCTGAGTACGTCCTCACTTGCTGGCACGAGGTGTTCCAGCTCACTTTGTACCTGTCCTCCCTTAGCCTTGCAATCAGCTACTTGTCTGGGGAACCTGGTGATGGTAACCTATTTTCAAAGGAAAGTGACACACTGTTTATTTTCCTAAGGAAGTAGACTAATGGGTTATTTTTACAAACTAATTTTGTTTGTAATACCTAGCCCTTAAAAATTAGAACCAATAGTCACCATTTTCACCAGAGATTTTAAAGCTTTTCAATGCTGGATATACTTCTTATGTTTCTCTGTAGAGCTTTTACCTACCAAGTATAGATAATACATATTACAAGTATTATCAGTGTAAATATTAACAATACTTTATAAACTAAAATATGGTTCATAATAGGACATACTGATCTATGTTTAGCAATACATTTATGGAAGCTAACTACAAAAAAGTTCCCATGATCTACTGAAATAAAATATCTAAAAGCCAAAAATTAGAGTAAATGTCTCATTTGTGAGTCTACAGTAATTCAGAATGCCCTTTATTCCTTCCCTATGTTTGAAAATTTTTTAAAAAGATTAAAATCATACTATTTGGAGATCAGAAAAGGCTTCTTTAAAGGACTCACATGTAAACTGAGAGCGAAAGAGAAGAAGAAACTACACATTTTAGGAGGGAGGACATTCCAGCTGAAAGGAACAGCATTCTCCAGCTGAAAGGAACAGCATGAGCGAAAGGCCAGCGGTGGAAGGCAGCACAGGAAGTCCACGGTCGAAGAGAAACCACTGTGACTAGACTAGGTAGAGGAAGAGGGGAAACGGAGCAAGGCGAGGCTGAAAGGGAGATGGGAGCGGCCGTGAAGAGTTGCTGTGGTTCATTCAGTGTTTTATTTAACTGAACCCTAGAACCAACGGAAGTTTCCTCCTACCATGGAAGAGACCACGACCAGGCTTGCGTCTTGAAAAGCTCCTCCTGGATCTCTGTGTAGGAGGGTCGGGTAAGGCGGGGAAAGGAAGCACTGACGGCCTCGTCAGAGATCCAGTGCCGGGACCCAGCAGAGGGCCGATGAGGATGAAAGGACACATGAGAAAGCAGTGAGGGAGCAGAGCTTACTTTGCCCTGGGCACTCTACCGTACGGGTTCATTTATCATCATGTCTATAAGTAATCTTTTATTAACAACATGGGGGAGGGTCAAAGAGGAGGGAATGCTAACTCCGAAACGTAAAAGGTAGAGATCCCTGTTCTTAACCGGAAACGAAGTCGAAGGACCAAAGCCACAGGAAATTGCACCGATTTTGGCCAGTGGTTTAGTTCAGCCCTGCCCAGTGAGAAGAGAAGTTTGTTTGTTTCAATAGATTCAAGGACAGGAACCACTCACTTAGGTAACACTACCTAGCTAAAAAGAAATGAAGATACTGTGAATCTTTGGGTAGAGCTGCAAGGCAAAATGTTAAGTTCTGCAGCACTCCTGGGAGTTAGTCCAGCCACCTTGGCAGAAGATGTCCCTAGGTTTGAAAAAACAAGAAATCTTGTCTGGAGTATTAAGTATAAAATGCCCAAAGTAACATTTCCATTTCATGCAGTTCTTAAGGACAGTTACATGAGTTAGAGATGATATTGGCGATAAAGAATTTAATTGCTTTAAAGGGGCTTTGTCTGGCAGAACCTCTGGACCCACACCCACTAGGGAAGCAGGCCACTGAGTGGCCAGGTCCGAACCACAGGTTGCCATCTAGTGGCCGCTGAGTTCTTCAACCGGTTTTCCCCTGCTTTTCTGTGTACCACGCATGCTCGTGTGGTAAGGAGACTTACAGAAGTTGTAGAGTGACCCTTCCACGCTAGGACGGAGCATCGTTTGCCAGAGCAAAACATACACATGACGTGGGGTCATTTCTTGAGTTTTGCTGCCACAAAACAAATTTGGAATCAAGAGAAATCAGGACAACAGTACTCAAAGGCTATAAAATCAAAGGCAGTTCTCCTGCATGACCTGGAAAAGGCCTTTGCCCCTTCTCTTGGTCAGCCCAAAGGTATTCTCCCCGCCCATCATCAGTCCCATGCAAAATTACCTGCACCTCTAACACACCTCATTTTGTTTTTAGCTTAAACATGCCTACAAAGCTTAATTCATCAGTGGTAACCTTAAAACCACATGCTGGGGGACAAGACAATAAGTGAACAGTCAACTAAAACAAGAGCTGTGCCTTCTCCAACTGAGGGTGACCTAGGGGAGCTTGGGGACAGACATTCCCTACCAGCTGCTGTCACTTCTTCCCGGCCCTGGAGAGGCCATGCCCACGAGTCCTCTACCCAGTGTCAAGGAGACAGAGTCAAGACTAATTTCTGAGTGCCCAAGCGTGTGCCACCTTTCACCAGTTCACCTTCCTGATCTTAGAAATGCTACCAGAGATGCCCAGGAAGTTACCAAACTGACTCAAAGCTGTCTGGTTCCGAAACCTACGGGCCATTTCTAGCACACTTCCACTGTATAGTAACATTTTTCTTAAAGAAGTATTTTCATCAGATATCCTCGTATATATATATATACGTACATATATAACTATACGTACATATAAAACTATATGTATTTTGTCACATACACACTTTGATTCAGTCCAAAACTTCCCATCTTTTAGAGGATACAAATGATTGGCCTCTGAGTTTTATTTACTGTGTGTGCATAGCTTACAAATACAGCACTTATATTTATAGTTTACAAAAAGAGAATTGACTTTACTACTTTTGGATCTTTTGCCTGAACATTTATTGCTTCTAAGCCCCAGCCCCAAATGGACTTCGTCTTGCTCATAGGTTTTGTTTCCCCAGGCCCCAGGCCCCTGTGCTTGGCACATCACTGCCATTCCAATATTTAATGCCAGACAAATGATAAGTCCAGGGAGGCGGAGGGAGTTCTTAAAACATGAAATTGGTCTGTTTTTTGAACTACAAAGAACCATACAGGTTTTCTGAGCAATTAAACCATCTGCACCTCATTGATGAAAAAAACAATCTCAGAGTTTCGTATCACAAAAAAGAAGGCAGATTCCTCAGTGCCTGTACAGTGAACCAGGCTTGTCACTACCCCCCTGAATTTTATAGGAAGCCACCTGCCACCACGCAGAGTCCCCAACGAAGGGCCTGCAAAGTGCCCCCCTAAAAATACACGTAGACCTCTCCTGGGAACTGCACATCTCACGTTCCAGGTGGTGAGGCCCTTCAAAACACAGGGGCAAAGCCTGGCACCATGTAATATTCTTTTGTAAAGGCAATTTAAAAAAATAATCTAGAACTCTGCAAAGACAGGTGTTACACTCTCTTAAGACTAATGAAAATGTGCCTGAAAAAATGGTGACAGTCCTCCTCTGAAGCCCTGAAACAACATCCTGGCTTGGCCGCAGTCGCCACCGCAGGGGCACTGCCAAGGAGCAGCCCCACGGCCGCCACTCGGGAAGCGGCAAAGAAAGGCAGTGAGGAGAACGATGAAAGAGGGAAAGGAGTTGATTGCCAACATGAAAACACAATGTTAGAGATTTCGGAGACTTAACCCTTAAAACTCCTTAAAATCCAAAGGAGTTGATTGCCAACATGAAAACACAATGTTAGAGATTTCGGAGACTTAACCCTAAAACTCTAGAGCATTCTGAGAGGAAAGTGTATTTATAAAAAGGTCATTTGGCTTTTGCCTAAAACTCATTGGCCACCAGGCAAGAGCTGGTAGAGGAAGTGTGTGACCTCAGAGTCAGAAGTCTCGGGTTTCCTTCCACCTCTGCCACCTACTCGCACAGTCACGCATCCACTCCGAACCTCAGTTTCCCCACTTGTAACGTGAGCGAGGATCAGGCCTGATCTGCCCAGTAAGATTTGAGGCTCAAATGGAAAACAGTGATAAGGCTTCACAGGCCACTAAAGCTCAGCACAAATAAAGCACTATTTCCAGTAACAAATGGACAACGATACTAAAGGCTGACAAATTCCAAAATTATTTAAATAAAACCACTTCAGCTCCAATTTTAATCTAATAAAAATTGAAGTCTTATTTCCTAATTAAAGTGGGGAAAAAAGATTAAATCATTCCAACTACTCTTCATCAAAGTTACTATGTTAAAAATTAGTACTTTACCTTCTATACCATTTGAAATGTTTACTTATGTACTGCTACTATACCCTTCAATGTATAACAGAGAGTAACAATTTTTCTTGAATGAAACTCTTAGCAAACACACATGTATATATACACAAACACAGCACACACATAAGCACAAAATGAACACATAAAACCACTGGTTTTTTTCTTATTCTGGGCAAGGTACCACAAACACAATCTTTATTATTACTATTTTTTAATCACTAGAGTAATGAAATTCCAATTTTGCCCTAAGCTAAAATAGATATGTAAAATAGAAGATATCAAACATCTGCACTTATAAGTTATATTTTACTCAATTTTTTTCTCATTAATTATAAACCAGGTTCTAAAAAGCCCCTTTCCTCTTTAAGCTCTAGCCCTGTGCCGTCTAACACAGCAGCCACCAGACACACGTGGCTACTGATCACTTGAAATGCAACTGATGCAAACAAACTGAGATAGATCTTAAGTGTAAAGCACACACTGGATTTTGAAGATTTAATATGAAAAAAGAATGTACAATAGCTCATTGATTTTTAAAATACTGATTACACGCTGGAATGGTGCTGTTTTGCATTAAATAAAATATATTAAAATTAGTTTTACCTGTTTCTTTTTATACTTTTTTGATGTGGCTATTGGAAAAATTTAACTTACAATATGTGGCTCACACACATGAGAAAAGACTGGTCTATTTCTATTGGGCGGAGTTGCTGTAGATGAATACTAAAATAAATAGTATACACTTACATAAAAACTTTAATTGCTAAAATTCAACCATAAAGCCTTGCTCGTCATATAAACTATGCATGGCCTTTAAACCGATGGCCCCAGCTGAAGCCTGCCAAGACACCTGGCCTTCTTCCAGTCACCCAACCCAGACTCCCCTAGATCCTGGGAGGAAGAGACCAGCTTGGGACAGTAGGGACCCCTCAAGCGAGTCTCAGGACTTACTGTAGAGAAGTCATTCCTTTTAACCATTCCTGTAGAGTAAAATAACCCATATTTTGTGCATCCAATTTCCAAGCTAGGACAAGCATAACTACCTGTTTAAAAAAAAAGAAAGAAAGCCCAATCAAATCAGAACTGATCTCAGCAATCACATACATTAACATCTTGCCAGATGTTTCTGTTCACTGTAGTTTAGTCACTGAAATAACAACAGTGACTTCACAAATGAGTTCTCGAGTCTGGTATAACTCAGTGTGTGCACGAGGGTCTGGAGAAACACAAACTCTTCTGAAGCATGATGGGGAAAGTGTAAAAACCTTTCTAGAGGGCAGTTCTGCATATCTGTTAAAATGAAAACCAGTTACTCAGTCGGCAATTCCATCTGTGGAAAGTTAGCTTATAGATACACCTGCAGGTGTGTACAAACATGTATACTCAGCAATAATTACCGCAGTACTATCTGCAGAAGCACAAGATTGAAAACAAACATTTACAAATAAGGTGGTAGTTATTAAATACTTGTTTGCTAAATATTGGGTGGTCCAAAATGTCCATTTGTTTTTTTCCATAAAATCTGACACATTTTTCATTTTCACCAATAACTTCACTGATTTGGATATTTTTGACTATGTCAGCTAACTCCCACTGGTAGAACGTTGATCATTCTCAGTAAATGTCTAGATTTGATGGCTATCAACTCCAACTGGTCTACCTGACTGTAGAGCATCGTCCAGCAAGAAGTCTCCAGCATGAAACATCACAAATCATTTTTGACACGTATGATCAGTCACATAACCATCTCCATACACTGCACAAATCCTTTTTTGCTTTTCAGTTGCATTTTTACCTTTCTTGAAATAGTAAAGCATAATATGCTGAAAATGTTTCGTATTTTCTTCCATCTTCAATATTAAAATTGGCTACACAAAAATTCACCAATTTTGGTTAAGTTTTTCTTTAAATGCACACTGATACAACAGCTGTTACAATACAATCTAACAAAACAGTTTCTAATAAAGTTAAAGAAAACTAAGTGCTACTAGAGCCATCTTAACAGAAAAAACAAAATATACTTTTTGGCCAACCCAATACATTCCACACAAAGGGATACTATGCCCCCATTAGGACCAATAAGTCTACAAATAGGGAACGATCTCCAAGATCTATTCAATGAAAAGAGCAAGGTGCAGAACAGAGTGGTAAAAAACGAAAAGGTGGGTGGTGAGACATATACAGTGGGGTTGTATCACAAAAACATTACTGTTTATAAATTCAACTATTTACACCAGGGGGAATTATTTAAAAGTAGCACGATACTCCATGTAAATAGAGCCATGCCTGTACTGAGCACCAGGGAAGCGTTATGGCCCAGTCACTTCTCCGCGGGCGCCACACAAAAATATCAAAATAGCTGTCTATGATGGTAGGATCAAGTGTACTTTTTCTGTTTAAAATTTCCTTTCATCAAATATCAATTACATCAGTACACATCACTTTTAAAGTCACCACGTGTTTTAGACTTTAAAGCTCTAGATTACTAGGTAGACTATGAGGACTGATTAGAAGCCAATGTTTCTACATTTTATGCACATCATCACCAAATGACTGTTAAATAGGTTTAAAAAATGGTAACTTAAGAGACCACTGGGCTGCTGAGAAGAATTTCCCAAAAGAAGTTATATGTTCTTCAAAATATTCACACATTTGAGGATTTTTCTCATCTCTTGAGCCCACATTTTTCTAATTCAAACTTAAGCTCTCAATATCTATACTTAATCCTCTATTAGAGAGATTGAAAATTCCACATAAACACTTAATAGAAAAAATGGTGAAGGCACAAGAACACAGCGTACATGAAATATGTCTCAACTGCCAAAGCAGATGTTCGTAGCAGCTACTTCTTTACATAAAATAGACCTTTCCTTATGAGAGCTAGTGAGGAGGCTTATACTTAAATGATCTTGCTGTTACCTCAGTAAATGAAAGTAGACTTGAATTTGACAACCTGCTTAAATTTCATAAGCTATAAATATCAGGTAAGGTGAGAGTTTTAAATATGTTAAAGTGCTTACTCATTGATGCAGACAGCCTTTTAAAAACTAGTTTGCTGCTCATTTTTCAAATGTTAACACTTCTGAAATTGAGATGCATTCCCAATTAATGGCATATCAGAGTTTATTTAGCAACATTTTTTATTAGTGATGATACAACTTACATAACTTCTATTAGTAGCACCTTCGAACTGAAGTACAGTAAAAAATGCTTTAAAATAATATTCTAAATTTGGTCATTCAGACTTCAATGTGTGTGATTCAACATTTCAACCCTATTTCTACAGAAAGAGAGAGCTCAAGGACTCCTAACTGCCCCCAAAAGAGCAATAATAGCAGCTCTCTTCTACTGAGTACTGCTATTGGGGGGTGAGGAACTTGGAAGAGCTGGGAACCCCCCTTTTCAGTTAGAATCCACATCAGCACGCCCTCGCACCCTGACAGGCCTTTCCACCTCTGAGAGCAAATGCCCACTTCATGCCTCTCACGCCCACAGCCGGACCCCAGCCTCTTGATCTCCTCGCCGCTGGCCCTACTGCCCATCCCTCTGACCCAATGTGGGCTGCTGTCCTCCAGATGCAATCTCTGGCCTGTCAGGGCCGGTTCACTGTGAGCCTGTTCACAAAACACCCTGGCAACCTTGGCCCAGCTCTCATCAGGACACATCCTTCTTAAAGTCAGTGTATGTTGTTCTCTGTGGGGAACCGTCCTGCCTGGTTTCAGGAGCTGTAACCCCACCAACAGGCGAAAAGGCCCCATGGCAAGGAGACCTTGGGACCATAAGCCACTAAGGAGACAAAACTTATCCTCCTGGCAGGGGCACAGCCTCTGCCCCCAAAATTACTTCACCCTGCTTGGCCCCTGGAGGACGGCTGGTCAGTCAATGATGGGTAAGATTCCTCAAGGAAGGAAAAACGTACAATAGGCACAATCACGAAGGGACCATCAGGGAAGGACTAGGGGACTACAGAAAAGGGGTGACAGACCTTCACCCCTCAGCTTTGTCATAGCCTGAGTCCTCATTCTGTCTGTAAGCCTCCTAATCTCTTAGCTGCCCACATCCCCCATCTGATTTAAGCCTAAAACAATGCTGGAGGCAGTACGTCCTGTGCAGGAACGGGTAGTTCCCAGGGCGAATGGGTAGTTCCCAGGGCGATCAGGCCAAAGAAAGAATGCATAAAATCCTTTGAAACTTGCTTTGTTGAGAATGCCCTCATTTTAAATGCTCAGGGTCCAAGCATAAAATGAGTTTGCTTCCCAAAGTTTTATGGCCCTTTGGCATCACTCTGTCTATTTGACCCTGACTCAGAATAAGCCCTCATCGTTCCTTGAATGTTTTCCATTCCTTGATCATTACCGCCTGACAATGACGATGAGCTTTATGTATACACCCTGTATTCATTCCTGTGCCAACTAAACCCAATAACATGGGGCACTGAGAAAAAGGCTCGAGGACTTTCCCTCTGAGAGACTGGTCAGCCTTTCCTCCCCAAGCAGATTATGTCTTGGTAGACTCATTTTCATCCGAGGTGGCTGGGGAGCTCTGCTGGACGGAGCCTCCCACCAGTGTTCTATGTCTATGTGTAGTTGATGGACCACATCGGGTAACTAGACGTTGCTGTCCCCAAACCTTTACACCCAGCTGAATAATTTATCTAGATACCTGAAGTAAATCATATTAAATTTTAAAATACAAGACAAAATTCCATGTAGTAAGTTGAAGACATTCCAAAGGCTCTTAAGAAAACTTAAAATGTTATTACGGGGAAGTGGAAGAGAACAAAGACATAGGAATGATAAGGACAAAAAAAAGTTTTAATAACAAATGTGCGATGTCTCAATTCCCAGTTTCCTTTTAGAGCATGATACATATGCATGGGCACAAGATACCCTGCACACAGTCTGAATGAAGGGGCTGATCTCGAGATCGCTTCCAGATCATAAATTCATTTAGGATCTGAGGCATATTTGTTAAATTGGAAGGCTAATGTAATATTAAACTGCACAGTTAATGATCCAGGGCATTTGTATCAGCATAATTTCTCATTTTAGTGTGAGAGCAGATGTGGGAACAGGAAAAAAAATATTTAACAATAACATGATGATAAGAATTAGACAAAAATAATTAAGCATATAAAATAACTTCTAATCAGGATTTTTCCAATCCTCACCCGAGGGCATGCTTCCTGATTTGAGAGAGGGGAAGGGAAGGAGGGAGAACAAGGGGAGAAACGTCCGTGTGAGAGGGGAACATCGGTCAGCTGCCTCTCACACATCCCCCAGCTGGGCCCAAACGCACCACCTTTCCGTCTACGGGACAACGCTCTACCTGAGCCACACTGGTCAGGGCCTCATTATATTTTTTAAGGGAAGTACATAGGGCCTTAACACTAAAAAGCAATCTCTTTCTGAGCCAAATTCAACTGAAAGTAAAAGAGCTGTGAAAAATTGATAATTATAATCTACTCAAAACCCTTATGAACAATTATCTAAAGTCCTGGATGAATTCTCCGTGAGACTGGGACCACCACAGAGGGAGATGAGGGGCACAGCGTCGTGACTCAGTCCCCCAGCTGATCTGTCACTGTATATACACAGGCCCACACCACTTTTTAAAAATCTTGTGCCTTTTGTAGGTAAGAAATTACACATGAGAGGGAAAAAAACGACTGTACCCCATACCAACTACAACAAAAAAATTCAATTAGAAATTAAATTAGAATTGAAACGTATTTCTTAGATTGCCTCATAAAAACTAACACCATTGCTTTTTTATTATTGCTTTATTTGTCAAGGGACAAAAGGCTTTAAAAAAATAATCAGCTGATTCACATGACTTACTACGTTAGACTTACATTTTCTGGTTCAACGCCAATGTCTTCACAAAATTTTTCCATGCCTTCAGGACCTACGACATCATCAGTACCTGCAGTGAAATGCAATCTCACATAAATTAAATCTAACCATGCGCACTATTACTGCTATAGTAGTGTTACATCGTCACAGTAGTTATTATCCAAGTGAACTAAAACAAGTGACACTTAAGGGCTAGAACTCCTTTCTGAAGAAAGAAATCAGCAAGTACCCATTGAAAAATATTCCGGCGTTTCAGTTCTAAAGAACTCCACTCCGCACAATCATTTATGTCCATATACTGCCATGTTCCTCAACACATGGACATATGACATACATGATTTATGCCTAAAGATATGGCTACTTGAGTTTAATTTCTACTCTTCATTAAAGCAGCTTAAAGCTCTATTCTTATTTTGGTAATAATTTCAATACATATAATAATTGTTGGAAACATAGCAAAGAAACATAATATTCTTTATAAAAATTGGGAAAAATACACAATTGTGTTTTTTTTACAAAGAAAAACAAATCAAGTTGTGTTTCTGTCCTTGAACAGGCAATAAGCCTCTCTCTCTCCACTCTAGCCTTAGCTTCATTTCTTCCTGAAAGAACCATCCAGCACCCCATCTCTACCTTGTCCCCCATTCACTCTTCAACCACACCATGTGGTTTTCTGCTCTCCGCCCTCCACTCAAACTCTCCTTGCCAAAGTCACTAATAACCCCCTAACGGCCGAGTCTAATAGACGCAGTCCATCTTTCTTTTATTTGACCTCTCTGTGATATCGGAAAATTTGAAGCACTTCTTCCTTCACAAACCTTTCCTCCCACGACTCCTGGAGGTGCTCTTTCCCTCCCAGCTTCCCCCACCTCTCCTCTGTTAGCTTCTTCATGGGTTCCTGTGCTTCTCCAGACTTGCTAAATTTCATGTGCAGAGTTCCATCTGTAAACCTCTTCTAATTCATCCTACACACTCTCCCTGGAAAATCTCAGCCCTACCTGGGGTGTCAGGTACTACCCAGATCTCTTCCTAGCCCACACTTTTCCCCTCACTTTTGGACCACCTCACCTCCTCTTTAACTGTCACGACTCGTCTTCTGCCCTAAACCTACTCCCCCCACATTCTGCATTGTCCACTACCACCTCACTGGGGTCATCATCTCTCCATGCCAAGTCCACTTGTCCTCCTTTCTTCTGTCTCCACTGGTGGTGCCACACCAGAAACAGAAACCTGGGAGTCATCCTGGACTCCCCCCTTACATACTTTCCACATCCAATCAATATTCAAGTACACTTCCAATTTCTCCTTCCCGATATTTCCTAATTGGATCTATCCTGCACCGACCTATTCAGGCTTGATCCTCTCACTTAAGAAGACACAGCAGTTCCCTCAGGTTCTCCCTAATTCCAGAGCCTCATCCCCTCTGACCCATCCCGCATACCTTAGTCAGTCCTCCAATGGCTCGCCACTACCTGAAGATAAAGCTCAAAGTACCTGAGTATCAAAGGTACCCTCTGACCTAGTGCCTCTCTTTCTCTTCAGCCTCATATCTTTCCACCTTCAAGTTAAGTTTCTTAGAAATAAGTGAATCAATAAATACTGCTGAGTGAATAAAAACAGAGATGTAGAAACACTTCCTGTGGTTTGCTCTACACACACATCCTGACACATTGCTAGCACCACACTGCTCTGCCACCTCGGTCCATCTTTTTCTCCCCCTCTCCCACCTTACCCGGCTAACTCCTTTAACCTTTACAGACTAAACCACACAGGCAGCCTTCCCCGTCTCCCTACCCACAGCAGAGTCTGAGTCAAGCAGTCCTTTGTGACCCCATGCAATGCTAGGAAAAATAAACCACAATGAATGTATAGGGTGGTTGTTTGAATAAAGGATGGGTATTAAAATCACCTGGAGCCCTAGCTGGTGTGGCTCAGTAGAGCTCCAGACTGCAAAGCAAAGGGTCGCCAGTTCAATTCCCCGTCAGGGCACATACCCGGGTCACAGGCCAGGTCTCCAGGAGGAGTGTGTGAGAGACAACCACACATTGATATTTTTTCTACCTTTCTTTCTCCCTCCCTTCCCCTGATTTTAAAATACATTAAAAAAATCTTTTTAAATAAATAAGTAAGTAAATAAAATCATCTGGCGTGCTTATAGGAAAGTCTAGTTACTTCTCTTCTCTCAAATCTTTGTCTCCTCTAAACTACAAATTCAGGTCCTTCTCATAATCTGGCTGCAGCAAATACTTTTTCTGCATGCTGTTATTTTTATTTTACTCATTTATGTGCTATTTTTGTTATAAAATGTTTTGTTTCATATTCAAATTTGTTACCTTTTTCTGGTATTTATTTTGCTCCTTTTATTTTACAAATTTTTCTATGCATTCTTAACTTGATTATAGGGGGATTATTTTATTTGAATTATCATTCAAATAAAAGTTTACCTAATTTTTAATTTGGTTATTTTTGCTACTTTAACACATAAACGTGAAATAAAATTTCACCTGAAGTAAAAGTTTATTAACAAGCCTCTTTAAGCACCCTCCCCAAACTAAGCTTCTACACATATGAAACACATACGTGTTTATTTGCTGTTTCCAAGTTTGTCCAGGCAATTCTCTTTCGCTTTCCAAGTATACAATAATTTAATCATTTCCTCTCTAATATGTGATAATCTTTATCTCCTCCTTTCCAATATTTATGCCCTTTCTGTCTCATATAGAACAACACTACCTAATAACTTCCAAAGCAATGGGAAATAAGAACACTGGCCTTACTTATCTCATTTTTTACTCAAATGTGAAAACAGCTTTAGATTTGAGAGCCCAATATATCCTCATGTGCACATTCATATATTACACAAAGAATACATTAACACATTCACAAAGTAAAATGTTCAAACAGAGACAATCTGAATAAAATAGAATAAAAAGAAAAAGCCTGCCTTCTCCTTTTCCTAACCAGTTAGGCATGTATCCTTCCAGACTTTTTTGCTATGTATTTACTTTTATTTTATGTGCAAATATACAATAAATGCGGTTTTATTTTTTATATTTGTGTTAATCATCACCCAAAGACATTTTTTTTCATTGCTTTTGGAGAAAAAAGGGGAAAGGAAAGGAGAGAGAGAAACAGAAATATGACACAGATGCATCAACTGGCTGGTAGTGTCCCCACCACTCTGGGTGCATGTGATCCCGTTCACATGCACCCAGCCTGGGGATAGAACCTGTGACCTTCAGTTATGGAATGACACTCCAACCAACTGAGCCACACCAGCAGGGTTGAAATGCAGTTTCAAATTTGTTTATCTATATACATGAGTTCATGCTGTACCTATAAATTCTACACCTTGCTTTTTTCACTAAGTATGTCTGACAATCTTCCAGTGAGAGTCCCTATACAGTTACTTTGTTCTTGTCAGCTGACACATTTCCCTTTTCTCCACTGTATGTGAATATGTGTGTATGTTAATCATTCCACTACTGTGAAGTATTTAGGCTATGAGATTAAAGAATAATTATTCTCATAAGGAAGTACCCATCTGTCCCTATTTTGCTAAGAGGTTTTATTTTTAGGAATGATGCCTTTTTGGTGTTTACCGATAGTACTCATTACAGGTGGCTCCATAAAATTAAAAAAAAAGGTTACTTTTCAGTTCTTTATAAATTCCTTTCTTTGGTTTCCATTCTTCCTGATTTTATAAAAGCTCCTTCACTGTAACCTATTCTTGAGCCCAGCCAGCCGCCTGCATTTCCCATGCTTGCGCACTAGGCCTGAGTGTCTCCGGGCTGCTCTCCCCATCTACACCCTCCATCCTGGTTACTGCCTCCTCTTTCTGTCAATACCCATTACAAAGACAATACTTCTCAATTCATTTGTCTTCTGCCACCACAGAAAATGAGTACAGTGCTTCTGTTGACTGGGAAGCCCCCAAAGAAGGTTTGCTGGTGTATACCATACAGTGGGAATGTTAGTTATCCATGCTTTTCATTTTTTCCATATTTTATGCACTGCAACTCTCATATTAATTGTACACACATGCCCTGTGCTTTAAAAGATCAAGTTTTTAACAGTATGATGGCAATGGTATGACTCTGCCAAAAGTAATTATTTTATCTTAAAAACCTTAAAAGATAGTTGGTCAAATAACATCACTAAAAAACTACCCATAATCCTGCCACCTAAAACAACTTTCTCTTTCACCTCTTCATCTTTCTCATGCAAGTATTTAGATCTATTTGTAATCACACTGTTCACTGGGATTAGGGTTATATTTATACAGAAGTTATCAATTCCCCTGTAGAAATGAGCAATCTCATTCTAACAAATACACCACTGGTTAACACACAGTGGGTCAGACATGGGGTGTGAGGAAGATGGTTTGTAAAGAAAAAATTTATCTACAATAAGCTATGATGAGATCTGGCCAAGATGCAGACATAGGTAGAAACGCTTCACTTCCTCGCACAACCCAAAGGAGGATAACAACCAATCTAAAATCAATAAACAACCAGAAGTGCCAGAAAATCAAATTACATGGAACTCAAACAACCAAGGAATTAAAGAGCCAGTCACTAGATACCAACCAGACCAGTAAGACAGGCAGACAAAGAGAGCCCACAGCAAGGCGGCAGACTGGGTGGGCAGGGCTCACTGAACAGGAAACTGAGACTCAGAGCTGACTATGGACTGTGGTGGGGGTTGTCACGGTGGGAGAAACTCCCAGTCTCACATGAAAGTGGGGCTAGAGCCCAGTAGGCAAGCTGCACTGTTCCCTCTCCGGTCCCTCCCCCACAGGCAGCACGCAGCACAGCAAAGAGAGTTGCCCCTCCCCCTTACAACTTAACAGGAGCCCTGAACAAAGAAATATGGCCCAAATGAAAGACCAGAGCAAAACTCCAAAAAGAGAGCTAAGCAATAAGGAGATAGCCAATCTATCTGATGGAGAGTTCAAAGCCCTGATAATCAAAATGCTCACCAGAATCGATCAAGCCTTGTCCCAAAATGAAAGAACAAATGAGGGGTAACCAAAGTGAAACAAAACAAAATATTCAGGGAACCAACAGTGACAGGAAGGAAACCAGGACTCAAATCAATGATTTGAAACAAAGGGAAGAGATAAATAGCCAACCAGAACAGAATGAAGAAACTTTATCCAGCAAAGCTATCATTTAGAATGGATGGGCAGATGAAGTACTTCCCAGATAAGGTCAAATTAAAGGAGTTCATCATCACCAAGCCATTCTTACATGAATGTTAAAGGGACTTATCTAAGAAATTGAAGAAGATCAAAAACTATGAACAGGCTTAGGAACCTCTGGAACAACTTTAAACATTCCAATATCCGAATTATAGGGGTGCCAGAAGGAGAAGAACAAGAGCAAGAAATGGAAAATTTATTTGAACAAATATGAAGGAAAACTTCCTCAATCTGGCAAAGGAAGCCCAGAGAGTCCCAAAGAAGTTGGACTCAAAGAGGAACACACCAAGGCACATCATCATTAAGCTATCCAAGATTAAAGACAAAGAGAGAATCTTGAAAGCAGCAAGAGGAAAAGGAGAGAGTTACCTACAAAGAAATACCTATAAGACCATCAGCTGATTTCTCAAAAGAAACCTTATAGGCAAGAAGGGGCTGGAAAGAAGTATTCTGAGCCATGAAAGGCAAGGACCTACATCCAAGATTACTTTATCCAGCAAAGCTATCATTTAGAATGGATGGGCAGATGAAGTACTTCCCAGATAAGGTCAAATTAAAGGAGTTCATCATCACCAAGCCATTCTTATATGAATGTTAAAGGGACTTATCTAAGAAATTGAAGAAGATCAAAAACTATGAACATAATATGACAACAAACTCACAACTATTAACAAATGAACCTAAAAAAAAAAAGAAAAACAATGGAAACAAAACTAAGCAAACAGCTGGAACAGGACCAGAATCAGAGAAATGGAGATCACATGGAGGGTTTTCAGTGGGGAGGGGAAGGGGAGGAATGGGGTGGGGGGAGGTACAGGGAATAAAAAGCATAACTGGTAGGCATAAAATAGACAGGGAGAGGCCAAAAATGGTATAGGAAACAGAGGACTCAAAGAACTTATATGTACTTTGTTCATGGACATGAACTAAAGTGGGGAATGCTGGATGGTTGGGGGGTACAGGGAGGAGGGGAAAAAAAGGGGGAAAAATTGGGACAACTGTAACAGCATAATCAATAAAGAATACTTAAAAAAATAAAATAAAATAAGCTATGAAATGCCCTGATGACATGATACTGGAGATACAATTGGAAGACAGATACATGGACAATATCTAGAAAAAAGTGGTCCTACCAATGTCCCTCCCATTTTAACCAGGGGCCCCTACTAATTATATTTAAATTTTTCACGATGGGTAGTAAAGCCCTCTCATTCTAGGGGGCCTGTGGCCTCACAGTCACCCTGCAGCACAACCTGTAAACCATCCCTGAATAATACTGGTCTGCAGTTTCTATTCATGGGGTTGGGATATTGAAAGTGAAACAGATACCACTTGGGGTTTTTAGTAATTCCCAATTTCAAACCACTTTCCCTAGAGATAAGATACAAAAGAAGAAGGAAAAAGGCGACAAGTATAAAAATAGAGCTGGCCTCACTCACAGAAACTTCATGCAGTACTGGACTACCAGGAACTACCCAGCAGGGATCTCAAGGAACCTAAAGAATGTGGCTTAAGCTTTATCCCAACTGTCATCTTTCTGAGCCAGAGAAAAACAACTAAGAAGGAAAACTATAGCCTGTTCTTTTTAAAGAAAACAGAAGTGTGGCTTATACTATGGAAAGATTTGTGCTTACTTATATAGGAAGACACAAAAAAATCAAAACAGCTGTGCTACAGTGGTGGGATTAAGTGTTCTTTTTATGTTTAAATTTTCCTTATTATAATACATTTTATAATAAAAAATGTGAGCCAAGCAGAAGATCTTCATAATCAAAGTTATACAAATATGAGAAAACTCTTCTTTCATTCAGTATCCATGTACCAAATACCTACAAAAGTGCCAAACACTTTTCCTAGGGAAGACAAAATGTCTTCAAGAGATTTGTGTTCTTATGACATAGATCTGTTAGAAAACAGATACATTCTAATACTATGTAAGTGTCTGTACTAGCGTTCATGCCCTGCAAACAAAATCCAGCTCAAACTAGTTCAAATGATAAAGCAGAACCCACTACATTCACTACAGAAATACTGGGGGAGCTCACAAAAACGCAGTGAACTACTACAGGAATCAGGATCGCATCCTTTCCAGTGCACGTCAGGGGAGAAAGAGCCTTCTCCCAGCTTCCTGATAATCCCAGGAAATTTCACCTGATTGGCCTGGTCTGGATCACCTGTCAGCCCCTGCAACAATCTCTGTGGCCAAAAGGGGCAAGACTCTTACCAGAAAAAAAGGGTGGAGGGCATGGGCGGGGAAGGGCAAGATCAGGCCTGGGAGGAATCCTCACTTTGATACCCAGTAACATGGTACCAGAACCAGTCATGAATACTGTCCTGGAGAAGTACAAGGCTATTAAGCTAAGTAGAGGGCTTTAAAAGTTAAATAGCAGCTTGTCTCAGATGGAAAAATGGAGAAAAGCACCCCAGACAAAGGGATGGCAGGGAATCAGGTCTTTTATCCCGTAGGTGGCAGGGACTTTAAAGTGAGGTGGGATGGCGTGGGGGTGGACTGACGACGGGAACTTCTGTTTGAAGGGTGCTGGGGTAGTCAAGTGGATAGGAAACAGGTTAGGGAAGAGGAAAGGTGAAAAAGCCTCCTATTCAAATTATCTGAAAATTTTCCTTTTCCCTGTTTTACACTGCACACAGCCACGGTAACAACCAAACCCCAGATTTCAGTACTACACTCTCCAGCCAATTAGACCAAGTTGCAAAAATGGGACTGAATTTAACACATTTAAATGACAAAACAAACATTTTCTGCCAAATGGTCTTTCAAAATAGACACACTTAATATAAGACATTCTGTTGCACTACATAAAGGTTCAAAGCAGCAAAGCTTATTTTAACTTCAATGTGTAAACCAAATAATCACCCATTACCAGCATTGAAGTAGGTTTCCTAGCAATCCAAAGTATTTCTCCCAAATGCATTTCATCTTTTCAGTTCACTTCCAGTGTTCTGAATTCTTTGGCTTAGCTGCTGGCTATAAATAGGACATTTGGTGATTTGTTTCAACAATGTTCTCTCCCTCAAATAGGGGCACACAAACATACCCCAAATCTGAAAAGTACACATTTATTTCCTAATTTCCCCTACGGTAGTCCTCCCTACTTTCGTGAGGATGGTCGTAGATGACATAAATGATTACCTACCTGCATATTCATAGAACCACTCTAAGCATCTCTTACTTGAAAAAGCTTCTTCTTCAGTCTTTATTCTAGTTGAATCATATTTTCTATACATGCTAGAAATTGAGAAAGCAGTTTTAAGTTACTTAAGGATTGAGGTCTTTTAAAGTAGCAGATAGATTTTATTCATTTACCCAAACCACACACCTATTCAATCAGTATTTCAAGTGTATTTTAAATATTTTACTTCCTGCATTTGAAAGCTTCAGCTTTCATAACTACAGTTTTAAACACAGTCACACCCAATACAGAATTAAATGGTAAGCACTTAATACAGGTCTTTCTCTGATGAACAAATAATCAATAAGAACCAAATAGAAACCAGGTATTTGAGAGACCCCCGCCCTCTACCTCAGCAGCTAGAACTACCTACAGAGTGACAATGAGATACAGAAGGGAATGTCTACAGTGTTTTCTGCGACTGACGGCCCTAGAACTCACTCATGTCTCACATTAAGTTCTCCTGACTTCTGTGTCTTACAAGTAGGACTGGGCACAGAGCACAGTGTAAGGAAGAGTCTGTCAATACTAGACAACTCAAGGGAACATTAAGGAAATAAAAGGAAAAAGCAAGCTCTATTCAAGCCTCTGGGGGTGGTGGGGAATGAGGTATACAGCTGAACCCATAAAGTCCCTTGGATGATTTCTTGATTAGGATAACCTTAAAACCTCAGGAGAGAGAAGTACAGAGAAACCCTGGCTTTTGCCATTCTCTTAGAATCCCCTAGTATTGTGGGAACAACCAGCCTCAGCTGAAGAACTGAACCAGGAAGCACAGCAGCCTCCTTCCACAACACTGTGACCTTCAGAAAGAATTTCTTATCTCGTAATGACCAGGGGCTGAGGACTGAAATGCTCCCTACCTGAGGAGGGGAGAGGAGACAGTATCTCTACAAATAATGATGTGGATAAAAAAATTGTGAGTACCAGTATATACTTTTTTTACCCTTTATATCTAAACTGCCTAAATAGTTATATAAACACTTATGAATATAATTTTCATTTACATAGTACATAAAATCATATCTAATTCTTTTTTAATGATCATTTATTCATAACCTACACATTCACCAGAATATCTGTATATACCTCTGATTAGAGATTCTAAGTTTCAATATGAACACAGTTTATAAGGTGGTAAGATAATGAGACTGCAAACCACCAGTTTTATATTTCTTTGATAAAAGGTAGCCACAATACCTGGAAAAAAACATGGATACTGTCCAATGGTTCAAACAGATATGTTCCCATACTGGGTTTGAACATTCCTGCCTCAGCTCAAGGTCTTTAACTGGTCAGTAATCTAGAGACCTATATATGACACTGTAATGTTCCAATTGCTTAAACATGCTCTGCATAAAAAAAGGGTAATGGAATGCCAGTCAGCCAGTAAAAGGAAAAAACTGATACATGCTATAACATGGATGAACCTCAAAAAACATTAAGCTAAGTGAAAGAACCAAGAACAAAAAGACCACTTATATCAAATGACCAGAAAAGGCAACTCTGTAGAGCTAGAAAGTAGATCCACGGCTGCCTGAGGTTGGGGATGGAACAGGGAATGAATGTGAAGGGGCGGCCATTCTACCTGATCTATCTACTGCGGCAATGGAAATCTTCTGACACTGGTTGGTAGTGATGGTGGCACAATTCTAACAACTTAGCAAAAATCACTGAATTTGTACACTTAAAGTGAACATTATAGTATGCAAAAAAAATGTGTTAAAAAAAAAAGACCAAGAATGAAACTCAGATAACGCTACACTCTCTCTTCCTTGGGTGACCACAGAAATGTGATCAATATGAGTGTCTCACGCCCTCCTGAAACTCAACTACCACTTTTAAACTGGCTTTATCATATTACATTATATTGGAATGTGGCAAAAAAAAATACTAAACACTATATACAGTCACAAAATGCTATGGGATTATTAAAATTAACAGTCCCCTGACAAATCACACCCACATGGCCAAGGAAGTACAAAGTGACCTGGCTTCATGGTGCTGAAGAGCACTGGTCCAAACTATCTTCTTTTAGATCATATTTTCTATTCATCTAGGACATGAACAGTCACATTATTTTCACATTTTCAGAGCCCAGCTCTCTAACTCTCCAACTGAGTTGTAGCTGATTAACTATCACAGCAAGAAAGAGAAAAGTCTCATCTAATCTCCTTGATTTATAGATGTGAAAACTCAGGCCCATGAGTGAAGTGGCCTACAGAACTAGAATAAAGGGACATGGAAAAAGGCAGAAAGGACTAAAATCCTGATGCTTGTTCATTGTTTTAAATACAGAGAGAGAACAAATTACTCTGAAAATCATGCCGAAACAATAAATAAGCCCAGAATAAACAAGTCTAACAGGCCTTTGGAGTTACCAAAATTAATAGTTCACACTTGCCCGAAGGAGAAGTGGTTTAAACAAATATTCTAACAAGTTTGTTTCTAACAAATTCTCACTTTTCTGAGAATAAGCCTCAGCTCAGCCAATACGCCCAGCAGGCCTCGAGTATTCAGTACCGGCAGCCCTCTGCAGCTGCTCGGCCCGGGTCCCCCACAAAGGCAAGGACGGGATGCCGGTGGTGGCATTCAGTGAGATTCCATACCAGTCCTGCGGTCCTCAGCAGGCACAGACGGCAAGCCCATAAAAGGAAACAAAGAAACTCTACACTAGTTTTGGCAGATCAGTGTATTAAGATAAAACTTCGATTTCTAAGAACTGAAATTACCTAATGTGTTTTTGTTTTATAAACCCACGCCTACAATAAGTGACATGAAATAATTACACTGTGGAAGTTTGCCTGGCAGAACCAAAAGAATGTTTCAGTTGGCATTTGTACACGGACGGAGAAGACCCACAATGGATTAGGCAGAAACATGCCTCTTTTGACACTTATGTCATCAGTTTTGATCTACCGTCTCTGTAACATACCTATCATGTCTACTTTTCTTGGCAGATAAATCATCTCCAGAGGCAGGTCTTCTCTTTTTCCTCGGCGGCATCACTTTACTAAAGCAGTCCGAAGAACTACAAGATCGCAGGCTTCCTACAAGACAAACAGGCCAAGGGCACAGGATTACGGTATGCCACACCACAACACTTCCAAAAAACACCCCCACCAGATTAGAAACTCTCATGGCAGGTACTGAAAAGGGTTTAGATGTTATCCATAAATGCTACGGGGTGGGAAAAATATGTTTTTTAGTTCCTCTTTGAGAAAATGTTGTAGTCACGCCTAAGCCCAGCAATGACACAAGTAAGTTAATACACTCTCCCCCAAACCACACCAGAAATAGAAGTTATCACATCTTCAATTTACTCTCCAAAAATATTAATATAAATCATCTCAGCTTTCAGCTTCTCTTACATGTCAATGTCCCTTCAAAAGGCAAGGCCAGCTCAACCAGTCACCTTGAATCAAAACACACACAAGGATATCAGTCCCAGCATTCTTAAGCTTCAAGAGATAACTGGTTTGGCATTTTTAAAACAACAAAAACAGGATTTAGATTTTTAGGGAAGAAGCCTGACACAATCTTGAGTAAAATTTCCACAATAATTTTTAGTTGGTTTCTGCCACCTGAAAAAGAATTTGCCACTTCCATTCAGGGTTTTCAGGAGCATACCTTTCATTTGGTTAAAAAATATTAAAATGTAGTAACAACACGGAACACTTACTGAGACCTTGCTATGAGTCATGTCCTCTTCTCAACATTTATATGTATTCACCTTTTAACAAGTTTATCAGAAAAAAACCATCATTACTGCCTATGCAGATGAGAAACAGAGGCAGAGAGAGGTGGGTGGGTGGCAAAATTGGGATTTAAACCCTGACAGTCTCACTTCAGACTGTCTTAAACCATTACGAATTACCAGGCAATTAAGATAATTAAAACAGCCCATCTTGGCACAAGGGCTAGCCAATGTATTATGTCAATAACCCTGAATAACAGCAGGACAGAAATCATTATCTCTACTTGACAGATGGGAAAATGAAGGCTTAGGCATCTGAGTAACCTTCCAAGGCCTCAGAAGTGTTAAAGGGTGAATTCTGGACCACAAGTCTTACTCCTTCCTCTGGCCCATTGGTGGAGGCCCCGGGTTCTCAGTGACCCAAGAAGACAAGAGCCAAGAGGTGCTGGGGTTGAATGATCTGCACTCAATGAATGAGTTCCAGTTCTTCACCTAATATGTGGCTTGGTGAATCACTGGCCTAGTCTGGGACTCTGGTGTGTCACCTGGAGACGGATAACTATGCTATCTACATTTCAGTTTTATGAGGAAAAAAACATCCACTCAATAGGTGCCAAGTACCGCGTGTAGACAGATGTTGGAGACAGAAAGAAACAGGCTCCAAGTGCCGTAACAGAGAAACGCCGTGGTGCACAGGCTGGGGCCCCATGCTCACTGGATCCTCACCACCCTATGAGGTAGGGATTTTGTAGCATGCCATTTTTCCAAATGAAGAACTTGAACCAGAGAGATTAGATAACAGGTGGAAAGCAACGGGTGAAGTCAAGGATGAAACCCAAGCAGCCCAGCAGCAAAGCCCCAGCTCTCTGCCACTACTTACTTCTCCCACCAGACCACCAGAGCAGAGGTGGACACGTGAAGAGAACTAAGGACAGCGCCCTGGGGAGTGTGGAACATCAGGGGCTGGGAAAAGATGGTAAAAACCTATGTGGGGAGAGTAATGTCCTAGAAGCCAAAGGAAAAGAGTGTTTCCAGGAGGGAGTAACATACAAAGGTCAGCTCAGAAAGGAGTGAGGCACGCCCTAAATGCAACAGTCAAGCCCAACCGCAGTGGGTAGGTTACAGTGGAGGCTCAATTGCTGTGGGCTGGGGAAGGATGTGAGGGGAGGGACAGAACGTACTGAACACGGACGACTCTTTCTAGAAAGCTGTCCGAAAGGCAGGGAGAAGGTGGTCAGGAACTAACAGTCGAAACCCAGGTAAGAGCAATGGTCAGGACTGGAACCTAAATGCCAGTTTACACTTAGGCTTCCTCCATTGTGCTAAGTTACCAGGGCAATACACTTCAAGAAAAGGCCAGCCCAAGCATTCTTCTGTTATAAACCAACACTACAGCCTGAATGCAGTGCCTGCCCAGTGCCAGGTACTGGACAACACATGTGCTTGAGGATCTTGCTTCTTCAGCACAAAAGCAGACCACAAACTGGGCTACAGAGATGGCCCTCCGCCACCTTCCAGGGGCCCAAACAGGCTCTGTTCTTCCAGGGGGTGAGACGGGGAGCACGGGGTTCCTCCGAGGCACAAGGGGCGCCCATATTTCTCTCCCCACAACAGCAGCAAGAGCTGGAAGAGAGCAGGCCAGAGAAAGTGCTGCCCACCGCCAACAAGCAACTCATTCATCTTCCCTCTGAAATGGCGGTCCTGTTTACAAACAACACTGAAGCATTCAGAAAGATCCCCAGAGATGCAGAGTAACCCAAGCATTTGCAGACTGCCAACATACAAGAAAAATACTTATTCTCATTCATTAATGCCGTCGGACGGGGCTTGCAAAATGAGAAAGTACAACCATACAGCTGAAAAAGCCTGCAACGCTGCTCAGAAATAAAAGCCTGCCTTAAACCTCGAGGCTTGCCTCTCCCGCGCTGGATGGGGGTACGTGTGGAGGAAAGACATTTTTGTCCAGTACTGGTCACAGCTGGGTTCTGAGCATCGGCTCTGGAGCAGCCTCCGCCAGTGTTTGCAGGAGAGAGAGCGAGCGAAATGCCTTATCTCCTCAGCCCACGGGCAGATGAACAGTATTTAAGATGTCTTCACCTCCACTACCTGTTTCTTCATAAAAACTCTGGTATGACAGGCCTTCACTGAGTCCTACTTGTTAAGAGTATCATCTTGGTAAACACAAACATCATGTTAACCAACTTTTCCAACTTTTTTTTTCCTTACTGATGAACGCTTTCTGTTAAAAAGTTTCACACAAAAAGAAAAAGTTTCACAAATCACCCCTACTTGTATCTGTATAAAACGTCTTCAAATTTGACCCCCAAATTTGGCAGTTTATTCTTCCGTTTATTCAACATTTTTACCTTCTAGCTAAGACCCTTTGCTTGTGTTCCAATCCCTCCACTCTAACGTTCAGGGTAAGTGGCCATTACGGGGCATCTTCCACAAAGAAACGATGTCTGTTCACCTCCCTGGTGCCCCTTCCAGCTCAGGAGCCCACTGGCTCACTGCCCCTCTCACCCCCACCTCACAGGAAGGATGAGTCAAACTCAGGCCCCAGGGAGGCTGCAAAGGACACAGCTCCTCGGGCAGAACCCTAGAACCCAGAATGACAGTGAAAAGTTTCAGGCTATATAAAAATCCAATTTTTAACGCTGCAGAAGACTAAGTTTACGTAATTTGCCAACATGAACCAAACCAACAAAATACACAGAGAAAACACATTTCAAGGCTTGTCTGCCCCAAACCCTGCACCCCAACATGGCTCCGAGGATCCCACCTGAGTAAGAGCAACACGGATTTTTAAGTGCACACACAAAGGAACACCTTGGTTGGCGGGGCCCCAGTTGGGTCGCCCGTGCGTACACAGCAGCTGATAAAGTCACAATGAGATACGTGTACCACGAGTCCTGCGGCAGACTCTCAGTAAGTGGCAGTTGAGTAAATGTGTTCCTAAAACATGTGTAAATCAAATTCTGCTAAAAGAAATACTTATTTTTATGAATAAATAATGCACCATAACTTCAGATTTTTTTTCCCACTTCTCAGTAAAATAAGCATTTGACTTTAAGTTTCTTGGCAGGTAGGATTTTTTAAAACACATTCAAGAATGTTTGCTTCTTAAAACTCTGTGATGTCTTTTTATAATAAAAACACTTGAATCTAAATGAGTATCTTTACAAAATTGTATTTATTTGTATAGTTTAAATTTAGACTTTACTGACTCAGAACTTGTATCACAATCTAGTTCAATTAAACTCTCTTTAAACTAAAAATAAATTAGTAAGCAAATAATATAAACAAGAAGGTTATGGAATGTTTGCTTCAGAGAATGAGCTATTTTAACCCTTTAAAATATATCTATTTGAGTACAATCTGATATTACAGGCAGAGGCAAAATATTAAGGCTGCCATTTTAAATAAAAGCAACTTTCTGAAAAACTTTAAGAAACACAGAAATTCATTTGCAATGGTCAGAGCTGCAAGTTTTCATTCTTTGACAATCACCAAGGAAAAGCAGTGATAAGAAAGATTTTAGGGAGCTACCTTACATCTCCTAAAAAATATTTGGCAGGAACATATGAAAGAGGAAAAGCCTTTTAATAATAATAACAATAACAATAACAATAATAATAACAATAATAATAATAAATGAGGAAGAGGAGAGGAAGAATCTCAACTAGTAATCCCAAACTGTGATTCAGGCTCCTTCATATCATCTTGATTGATATTCTGGTTTTCAATCTAAGTATTTCTACATTAGATCAACAGTGAGTGAAAACTCTCCCAACTCTCCCATCGTTAGCTCTTTCTCAATGCTTTCATATTTATATGACCCTCAGGCAGGTGACAAAAACTGTTCGTTATGATTTAAGTTCAGGTTTATTTCCTTTTGGTTCAGTGTTCAAGGAGAACACATAAATTCTTCTATTAACCAACTATATTTTCAAATAAATCAGGTACAGCATGAATACAGCCATTCTTCCCACATTAAACAATTAGAAATACTGCCAACATTTTTCAACAGATTTACCCAAATACTTGGTCCGAGACAATCATTTTAAAGAACATCCTGAAGCCCTGGCCAGGTAGCTCAGTTGGTTACAGCATCATCCCAATACTGGAGGTGGTACGTTCAACCCCAATCAGGGCACGTATGAGAATCAACCAACAAATAATCTCTCTCCCCGCCCCCCTTCCTTAGTGTCACCCCCTCTCTCCCCCTAAAGTTAACAAAATTTTTTTTAAAAGAGCAACTTAAGTTTACCTGAATTAGACCAAGGCCCTTTAGTGTCTACTACCCAGCTTGTTGTTTTGATAATAATTTAAGCATGTAATTCTAAATAAATGCTATCTAAGTAAGTGCTGTATCTATATATATTTTTAAACTTTTTGCTTGGGCCTCGAGTAAAAACAAGTCCTGTTTAGGATTCATTTTCTCTAAGATACATAAAATTGTGTGCCTAATTTCTAGTTATCTCCAAATAATAGGTCTATAAATTTAGAGAATTTTCCTGACTTTTTCAAACTTAGTATAAATTCATGTTCTAATATAAAAATCTTACTGCCCAATTTTTCATTTTAGTGACTTTGTTGTATCAGATAGCCTTGCCACTTAATATTTTACACGGTTCATTGTGCCACTTCAGTACTTTTTAGATAGCTATTTCAACCTCACTTTTCACTGAACAATGTTACAAAAATATAATTTGAGTTGATAAATACATTGCATTTTTAAGACACGTTACCAGTACCTAATATTTTATTTCAATTTCTTGAACAGATAATTGAACTACTTGCTTGCTTGAGTAAAACTATTAGTTCCTAGATGCGCAATTTTTATCCCACTATTTCAGGCAAAAAAAATTTCCTTTCCTTTCTCTCTAAATGATATTGACTTCTGACACCTATCTTCCTTCATCATCTTTTTTGTCCTCTCTGGCTTTCTTTTTAATCCTCATCAGAGGAGATGTCTATTGACATGAAAGAGACAGAAACATCGATATGAGAAATGTCCATCAGTTGCCTCCTGTGTGCTCCCAGACCAGGGATCAACCCAGAACCTAGGTATGTGCCCTGACTGGGGATCCTACCAGCAACCTTTCAGTGTACGGGAAGATGCTCCGACCAGCTGAGCCACTCTGGCGGAGCTGTCCTCTCTGGCTTTTTTTAACCTACTCCCAGCATTTTGGGCTACTTCTCTAATATTAACTCTATCTGTCTCTTTTTTTTATTTTTTTTGATGGAAGATTGAAAGCACAAAAGAAAAGTGGTAGAGGAGACAGAGCAGAGAAATACTAGCCTCTCTTGCGCTTGCGTTTGGCCCTTCCATACACAGTTGTTACAACCTTGCTCAACTACTGTTAAGCCAAGAGATTCTAACAGGCATTACAGTAAGTAACTTACTCAGATTTCCAAACATTATAGAGTTTATGTTGTTTAATTTTTAAAGTATACTCTGTCAGGTAATGGTAATCACAAGTGATGCTATAAGGAGATGGAGAAATGCTAATGAAATTGACAACTAAGAAATTACTAACACTAATCAACACTGACAGGCACTTAACGAGGCACCAGGCACTGCACCAGCATGTCACACACCAACATCAGACACATTCCCTGTCCCCAGGGGGTGAGAGAGAAGGCATGAGGCTAAATACATTTTCCACTTTCATTTCCCTTAATTATAACTTACATATTAAATTGCCACATTCAGATTAAATATTTAAATGTGAAATTACCATAGTAACCATACTCATATTAATCCACAGTTCGAAGTTAACTACATCATGTAGAAGATTCAGAACTTAGAGGTTTTATTACCTTATCTAAGGGAAGACAACCTAAAGGCTTTACAAACACAAAATTCAGTTTTAAAAATCAAAACTTCACTTCTTAAATTTAAAAAAATCCCCAAAGCCTACCAACATACTGTCCCACAGTTGGAGAGAAGCGTGTTTTTTTTTCTTAACTATTAAAACTGGCCCTGAAAATTTTATTTCAGCATTACTGGTAGTAGCTAAAAGTTAAACATACTTAAATGTGTATCAATAGACCCATATTATGATATACCCATGAATTCAGAAAATTATGCATTCATTAGGAAATAAAGCAAATGTTTTACAAATGTGCTACTATGAAAAGACCTCCAAGATACACACACTGAGTGACAAAAACAAGAGGCACATACAGACACATACTTGTATTTGGGAAAAAGTCTATCATCAGATTCATCATCATCACCTGGGAATCACACACGGGAATGTAAGAGTTCCCTCTGGGAAGGCAATGGTGTATGTAATACCAGTGAGGAGGGGATCGGGGGGACGAAATGGGACAGAAACCTTCACTTCTGGTTTTCTACCTTCTCAATACTTCTTTGAAAACTGCGTGCATGCATTGCTTTTAAATTATTAAGGAAACTGCTTCTGACTGTCTTTTAAATTGATCTAGTGTAGGGCCACAGTCTGGCCTGGCCTTCTAGAACACCCCGGGAAGGGGAGGGTCTGATCTCACCGGTGATCTGGGGAGGAGGAACTGAGCAGAGGTGCCCGGCCCCTTCTCAACTCCCTTCCAGATGCCCCTGCCAGCAGCTCAGACCCTCCCACCATCAGAGCTGGGGTATCGAGAGGGAACAGAGGGTATGCTGGCTTGTGCTTATCTAGTTGTGGCAGTGACTGAATGCAAGGCTTTTTAATTTAGGGAAATATTGAAAGTCTCTGCATTTTTGCTGCACAACTAAGCTTTGTTTTCCAATGAACTTGTTACTTCAATCTCCATCTTCTGCCTAATATTCAACTGATTCTGAATCAAACCAATTTGTAAGGGAGGGCGGGGAGAGTTTTAAACCCCAACAACCTCCAAGATATACCATTAAATGAGAACAAGAATGCTGTGTAGTATGTACAGTATGACTTAATTGATGCTAAATAAGAAAACACAGCTATAAAAATATATGCGTGTACAAAAACAGTTGAAAGAAGAAACGTTAAACCTGGGAAGGTTGGACTGAAAGACATGAAAGAGGACTGTCGCTTTTTACTCCTGAGTTTACTTTTATGCTATTCAAAATTCCCCAACAAGCATGTATTCATGTATTATTGTGGTAAACTTCAAAAATTTTTAAATGTATTTTAATTTTTGATGCATGTTTTAGTAACTATAATGCAGATACAAGTCTCTGAACTTTGTCATTACCAACAGTTTAGAGAAGTGAAACCGTGGTCTCCAGACCACTGCACCAGCACCATCTGGGAGCCTGGTAGACCCTGGGGTTCCACCCCAGACCTACAGGATCAGACACACTGGGAGTGGGACCTAGCTATCTGTTTTAACAAGCCCACCGTGCCAAGTGATTTTAAAGCTAACTGAAGTTGGAGAACCATGGGGCTGGAGAATCAACTACAATAAAGTTTCAATTTTCTCATTCATAAATCCGGAGGACCTGTACACACACACATATATACACATACACACACCTGCCTATCTAATCATTTTTCATCTCGATTCAATAAACATTTATGGACTACCTTTCAAATTGCATTACTGTAGTAACTTTTTAGTACAAACTAAAATAGTCCAGCAGAGAAATGACATCTCGAAGCCACTAGCGTGAATCCCCAACCCCTTAAAGGGACGCAAGGACCTGCCATAGCTAGAGCCCCAGAACAGATGTCTCCCTGGGAAGGAACTAGAACACCGCTGCCTCAACTGCTCTGAAAGACATCCTCAATCAAGCCACAACCTGTGAATGGGATGTGTTACAATGCTGAGCATTCTTAGCTTGCATTTCTCCTTTGTGACTTTGTACTAGGAAGTTTATTTAAAATTGAGTAGTGTTAGCTTTTACAGATACCTGTTTGGTGATCGTCTTGGCCAACGTCTTCTGTTAGATTCTGCAAGAAATATGTTCATTATTACCAAGAAATCACAGCAAGTTTTAAAATTCAATATTTTCATAAACAGCTTGATATCTTAGCATCTGTAACCTAAATTTTTATCAACTACATTTAAAACAACTATAAAAACAGTCGGTAGTTTTGTCTTTAAAAGATGGACTTACTAGCTTATTAAGGGTGTGGTAGATCTTATGAATATTTGCCAGTGTTGAGAGATGAGAATTCAGCTGAAAATCTTTAAAAAAGAAAAAGGGGAAAATTCAGTGTCATTTATTTCCCATACTGCACAGACTATAAAAAAAGAAAGCTCAGAAGTGATAAGAAGTGTTTTGATACAACTGAATAATATCTCCATTAACTTGGTACTTATTAAATAAAATACAACATGCAATTCACAGACCTAGCTCCTAGAAATAGTCTGACAACAAGTTAAATTCCCAACCAAATGCTGAAGTTCATGAAATTTTCATACGAACTGTAAGGTAAAACAAAATACTTCAGTAATGATAAAACCCTACCAGCAATGAACTTGAACTTAATAGAAAAATATCAATAATGTTAGCCAATGAAACAAGTTACACAAATAGAAAACAGATCTCAAATGAAACATGTTTCCTTTCTCTTTCCTTATCTCTTCCCCAGAATTACTAGTAAAATACAAAGCTTCCAACAAGAAAATAATTGAAAAGCATCTCAACTATTCAGCAGTTCTGACAACATATTTATTGTTGGCTCTTAATACAAGAGAGAGAGCAAAAGCTCCTCCCCTTCCCATTAGTCAAACACAGACAAATCAAAGAATCATCCTGCAAGCTCTGAGTCTGGATGGCCGAGCCCTGGATAGAGGGTATGGTTACCTGTACCACAATATTTAAATGAGCCACAGAACCAGAAACACAAAAGCAGACATCACACTCCTAGAGAGAAACATGTCCAAGTCAAAGAATGTATCAACTATTAAATCATCTCCAGTAGTCGTAGAATCATTCTAAATCATAGATATGAGAAAAATGAACTCGCTCCATCTTAGAATCCCGCACAACATAAAACTTACAGTTAAACTGACTTCTGAATTTCTAATTTCAAATTACTTTATAAAGTATGCTTGCATACATATTAGGCTATGTAAAAGTGACTTAAAAGTCTATAAATAACTTCATATTTGAATAAGCATCAATAGATGTATTTTCACAAAGTATCAGGATTTACATTAGTTGCTTTTCTTCACTGTGATAAAGGTTAGTAAAGGTTAGTCTGGAAAGTAACCTTGAAAACATACTGCAACTCTCCAAGTTATGCCATTCTGATACAAACAGAAGAAGAAATCAGCCTTCCCTGGAATATTTGGGACACGTACCAGATGCCAAGAACAACCCCAGAGAGAAGACTGCAATACAAGCTGTCTGTGCAGGGGAACCGCACTCTCTGGGAGGCTGCTCTGAGTCTGGAAGGCAAGCTGATTTCCCCGCCAGTATTTAGAAAGCCTTACTTCTCCTTCTAATCCATGGCAGGAATCCAGTGCTTGGCTGGCCAATGGGGCAGAGGGGCCAACAGGCCGCAGAGCCGACATCTGCACTTCCCTGTCGGGAGCAGCAGGCCATACATGTACCTGTACACGCGCACTGCTCTGGCCCACCTGGCCGCAGCCAGACACCTAACACCACAGTCACCGCCAGCAAGTCCAGTCCAAAGAATGAGCATTTCTGGCTTAGCAACAACCAGAGGAGGCCCTCGGGCTCTAAACAGGCCTCAAAGACAGACAAGTGTCAATTTTGGGGCCCCTAAATAGCTTAGCCATATTTAAGGTAAATGGTGACATAAGGTGGCACGGAACCTTTTCCATCTTAATTTAAAATGCACTGCACAGAGAGGTTTTCAAGTGTTAGGGGTGTGTGAGCATAAATGTGTATGTCTTTACTTACAAACACGGATGTTTATACTTAACAATCATGGATATACATCTCTGAAGCTAGAAGCAGCAACAGCCCTCTCCTGACCTGCAAGGGGTAACAGGGAGCTTAACCTCCACCGGCCCCTCCCCCTGCATCTACTAGGGAGCCATAACCCCCCTTTCCGCACTCTCAATCTAAAAACCGGAAGACAAATGATACATTCCGCTATCATCTTGAAATTAAATCCTCAGCTAACCTCTTGGGCCCTCCCGCAGAACAACAACAACAAAAACAAACAAACAAAGTTGATGGATCTCAATTCTTTTTTTTCACCGAGGCCTCACAGGTGGGAAGAGAGAAAGGGCTAGCAGAAGATCATTCAGTGATGTGGCTTCCGTGCACTCCATGCTACATGTTTTTCACTACTGTGATGTTAATTCAACTGTCAAAATTCACATAAGAGAATCTAAACAGGTTAAACTGCTAAATCCTTCTACACACACACACACACACACACACACACACACACACACAGAGTTCCTGCCCAAACAACATGGGGCTTTACTTAACTCTCTTTGGAGTCTGACAGCTGGCTTAAACCTCAGGTCTACCAGTGATTTAACCTAAATTTCAATGTCTTCATCTTTAAAATGAACTACCATGCATAGGTGTGACATTCATTATAATGCCTGGACCATAGTAAGTGCTAAATAAAAGATATCAATTATCACTGTATTGACTTATACCGTTTTCTATACCCCACGGTGGTCTAAAAGGGTCTCTAATTTCTCTAAGGTCCAACCCAGAGCCGGTGCCCCCTCCGTCTGTGAGTGCGGCACCTGTGAGTGAGGCGCGTGGGCTGGCGAGTCCCCACAGACTACGGTGGCGCTGCTGTATCCATGCACCGTGGCATTCATAATGCTAGTCGAAGACAGTCTCCACACAGTGGAAAAAATATATAGGTGCCTTTAAGACCAGGTTCTGTACCTGAAGTTCCACTTTACAGGCAACAAGAGCAACAAGGTTCCTCTCACAAATCACATAATGTACGTGGGCGACTCCCCATTTCCGTACCCAACACCTACTGCATCAGCCACCTCCTCCCACTTCTCACACACACACACACACACACACACACACAAAGATGAAAGAAGAAAAGGAACCAACATAAAGAAATCTTCTTTAGTTTCACCAAGGTAAGAAGAAGCTAAGGAGAAGACAAAAATTCAAGGAAAAAAGACCAAAATGGCATAAAAGATAAAACCACAAAGGTTAACAATTTAAATTTATGGTTCATCTGTTCAGTGCTCATGGCAAGTAAGAGACCTTAAAATCTAAAACAGACTTCACTTCCTTAAGAAATAGATGTTAAGGGTAAAGATCAAATGCTTTACAAAGAATATACTTAGGAGAGCACTAACTGATTCATAAAAATCCCTGGCTCATATTTCAATTCTGAAGGATAAGTACTAGATTTAGTCAACTTTATTCTACGATCAAATGGCTCTCCACAGTGCACAGTGACTGGCTTTGACTCTCCTGTGTGACATGCAATCTCTATATTCTGTATTAAAAGCAACAAATGACTCTGTAGAAAGGCACAGCCTGCTTGATAAATAGCTTGCTTAAATTATCTTCTGGGTATTTCAAAAACTACCAACAAAGGCTGACTGGGCATAAAGTTTACAGTGTTTTTTGTTTTTGTTTTATAATTACCTTTTGCTGTGCCCTATGTAATATAAAAGAATGCATGCCACTGAGAGGTTCAAGTCCATTCCCCCTCACTGCCCCACATACAGAGTCTCACAGCATAGACAGAGATACAAATATTCAGAATGAAACAACTATGCATACATTCAGACAATGACCATGAAGCAAAAAAAAAAAATCAAATGTAAAAATTAACAGTCCTAATAGGAGAGGGTCAGAAATAATTTGAATGCATAAAAATCAAAACCTTTCCTCTATACCTCTTGTAAACCTCTGTATACCTCTACAATCACTGGTAACATACAACTGGGAGGTGATCTCAATTATAACAGCAACAAAAAGCAATGATACATGGAGGAGTAAACTTAAATATGCGACATTCAAAAAAAGAAACAATGAAAGTTTACGGAAATACGTAAATGTAGAGATACCATATTCCTGAAATGGAAACACCCAGTACTGTAAACCAATCAGGACTCTAAACTAAACGACAAGTTAAATGGAATCAGATTCCCGTTCTTTGTGCCTCCCAGCTCCCCACCCCAAGACAGAGGTGGGCAAAGGTGGGGAGTCAGACAGCTTGGCAGATGGGTTCTAAAGTCCATCTGAAATAAGAACCACGCTAGATTCGCCAAGAAGTTATTGAAAAAGACTGAGGAGGAATGTGCCCTGTCAGGTATCAGCATGCAGGGTAAGACAGAGGTCGGAAGGCTCTCTGTAGAGGATCAGACCACACGTCCTCTCAGCTTTGTGGGCTATATGATCTCAGCCACAACTACTTTGCCACTGTAACACAAAAGCAACCATAAACGGTACACACACAAACGAGTGTGGCTGTATTCCAATAAAACTTGATTTATGAAAAACTAGGTGGTGAGCCAGATTTGCCCCCCAGGCTACAGTTTGCCAGTGCCTGATACAAAGGCACAGTAGCCCCCTTATCCATGGTTTTGCTTCCTGTGATTTCAGTTTAACCAAAGCCAATCAAGGTCTAAAAATATCAAATGGAAAATCCCAGAAATAAACAATTTGTAAGTTTTAAATTGTGCACCACACTGAGTAGCAAAGTGAAATCTTGTGCCCACACAGGATGTAAACCAGGTTCTTGTCCAGTGTGTCCACGCTGTGTGAACAGGACCTGTCGGTCACACAGTGGCCACCACCTTGGTTACCAGATGGACCATCTTGTACTGAAGTAGTCCTTACTTTACCTGATAATGGCCTGAACCACAAGAGTAGTGACGCTAGCAATTCGGTATGTCCATGAGAAGCTGTCAAGTGCTTCCTGTAAGTGAAAGGGCACGTATAGGCAAAAACAGAGTGTATTTGGGCTCAGTTCCGTCTGTGGTTCCGAACATCCCCTGAGGGTCTCAGAACGCACCCCACAGATAACAGGGATGTACTATACGGTCACTGTCACGGCAGGGTATGTGTGCAAGAAGACAAACCAATGGGACAGAGTTAATAATATGTATGCACATGTGTATGTATAAACACACGTGTAATCAATATACATGATAAAACTGCATTTGAAATCAATGGGGAAGAGTTCATCAATTAGTAAACACAGGGGCAACTAGCTAGTATGTGAACAAATTCAAATTAATTTCAGCTTCACCTGTAAGTTTCAGGT